TTGAAAATTCAAAAATCAAATTTCAAATTTCAAATATTTTGAGTTAGGAGCTGGTTTTCCGAGGCCATTTTCCCGCCAAAAAGCGATTGGGCAGTTCAAATTTCAAAAGATAATCGCATGTGCTTCCCGCTCCTGATGGTCCCCACAGGACCGGGAATCGGAGGACTCCTTGATGGGTAAATACCCATGGATGCCACCCGGTTGGTTCGTCCGACTGGGTGGTGGTCGAAGTGGCAGAGCGCACTTTCCTCAGACCGGGCTCTCCAGGTGCTCTATGGGACCGGTCAGAAGGCTGACCGGTTGGATAACCAGAGACGTGCTTGACGTGCTTAGCTTTATTATAAATACCCCTAAAATCCTCATTTGTGAGGTATGTTTTAATAAACCTTCACGGCTTGTACTTTGTAATAGTCTTAGCATTATCAATAACAAACCGGGTTACAGGTGTTTCCACCTACAGCCCTTCCGATTACTTTTACTTAGTGTTTGCGTGGTAATTTACACCATCAATACTGAAGATCATTAAAAAAATGAATGAGAAATTTATTTCAAGACGGAAGAAATACAATATTTCATCGATCGATTTAACTACGCAATATTTTTATCATATTATTTACTCTGTAATAAATTGAAAAGATAAAATTACAATTCTCTATTTCGGGAAAAATCTCTTTTTTATTTATTGAATATCACATATGTCATTATAATGAGCGTGTATCAATTGGTTTTGTACCAATTGATATACTACCTCCGTTCCATAATATTTGTCCACTTTCATTTTTACACTTCTTTAATCCATTTTATCTTGTAATTTGTACATTAAAAAATTATACTTCCTCCGTCCCATTTTAAATTGCCTGTTTGCCTTTTTTCTCCGTCCGAAAATAAATTGTCTGTTAGTTGTTTTCGTAAACTTTTAAAAATAAAATACCTAAACTACCCCTAAAATAAGTCACACTTCTTCACCTTATCTTCTCATTCATCATCACCCCTCCTAAAAAGTAATGTCAATTTCGGAAAATCAACTCTATTTTTTATTTTCCTTAAATATGCCCAAAAGTCAAAACAGACGATTTAAATTGGGACGGAGGGAGTAGAAATTATAAATTAATAATCTATATGTTAAGACAAATCAAACAAGATCACACATAACTATATTTAGGCTTACACATTGAGAGAATTTGATGAGTCAAAGTGCTTAGATGAACAGTTTCAAAAGTCAAAACTGGACGAATACTCCGAGACTAAGGGAGTAATTGTTAAGTTAAAGACAAAAGTCGACGTTTAACCTGACACACTAACACACTAAATTCTTTTTGTAACAAAGTGTAATTTTTTTAATTTTGTCCCAAATTCATAGTATGAGTCATTAGGTTGAGAAAGTGTTAGCTGATACTATATCGTGATTGAATCAATAGACCAAAAAAGGGGTCACGTACGCAAAGAATAAGAGGTAACATATTTAAAAAAATTTAAAAATTGTACAAGAGTACCCTACAACAACCAAGATTGCAAAACAGATGCACTTGTCCTATGAAAGGTAAATTCTTTCTTCATTGCACAAAAATAAGGACTCATAATAAAAGTTCAACCAAAGAGATCACTTGGCTTGTTACACTACATATGCCGGCATCCAAGCAAAATTTTCTTCTTCACAAAGCAGAATGAATGCACCGACAATTGCCCAACAAGAAACGACATGTCAATAATCTTAGGAAGATCATACAAGGGTTGTTGCAGTTACAGTTTTTGAATGGTTCTTAATAGAAGAAGAAGAAGAAGGGTATTTAGGGTATGAGGATTCTATATCGAATTGCCAAAGCATGACCCGTGAGCAGTTTGGCGCAATGCCTTCCATTTGGCTTTCGTCCTCCACTAGTTGTTCGATGAATGTCGTTGCCTGAAATGAATACCATTGTCATTAAAGAAATGAATTGTGGGTTCATGGCAGGCATGGCAAACATGTCACTCGGGTCGGGTTCGGTCAGGTTTGACCCATTTTTAGAAGGTCATTTCAAGTTTGATTGACAAAATCTTTCATCGAATTTCGGGTACTTTTTACCTAGTTGAGCCAATTGAGACATATAATTTCAAAAACAATGAGAAAAAAATGAGGTAAAACACAGACAAAACTCACTTGGAAGCCATCTCTAAGGCCATCAATCAACCTGATGGGTTGGAGCGTAGGCCTGTGCCACCGCTTAGGATCCCAAAGAATTGTACTGTTGAAGGCAAACCCCGACACTTCCACGTGGAACCTCCGGATTCGTTTCCTCACATCATTTGTGTGCCACCCCAATACCTTTGCACCTTTGCAGACAGGCCCTTCCAAGAGGACATGTCTGTTGTTTGCAGCCATTCTTGGCACTGGCCATGCTCCAAACCGCCTGCACACAGACAAATGTTTTATCGTACAGCATTCCCAAAATAACCCTTGGGAAGATGCACAATCCAAATCACAAATGATACAGACTGCTGATGCAATTCACGATTCATTAAATAGCCCTTGAAAGCGTGTAGGCTAGAGCAAAAACAAATCTTGCAATGGAGCGGTTAGCGGGAACGTTAATTAGGGTATATAAAACAGTTCTTAGGCTTACAATAACAAGCTTGAACTTTTGATTGCTGCAACTTTTTTGTCGTATTTTACTTGTGTATATTTTATCCATTTCTTATAAGTTATAAAATGAATGCATAAACAAATGCTAATTTATACAAATACATTACCAGCAGCGAGGCTCTATCTAGCAAGTTGAGACAATAACAATTGTTAAGTATAGCACTAAGGATTAGAATATGAATTAGAGAACCTGATCTCCCGCATTTCTTCGAAGAGCTCAAGAGAGTAAGTCTTATCATCATCAGCAAAGTAAACAATCCCGTCGAGACGATGTGTTTCAATGTGGGATAGTGCAGTGTTCCTCATGTGTACGCGTCTTTCTTTCACTTCTGTCACGTTCTTATCACTGCATACCAAATGGCGGTACATGACCCCCGATCTCCTCAACATATCGGCGGTTCCCAAAGACTGGGAGTTCATCTCCACGACTATCCACAACAAAGGGGGCGGGACCCGCTTCAGAGTATGCGCGATGTGGTTCATGTAGTATGCTTGAAACGGGCGTGGCTCGGTCGAGGTAACAACTATCAAGAGTTTGTGGAAATCCATCATTTGGTTAGGAGGGGCACTATCGTCATTTCCATCCACCGCTATACTAACCTTGGTATGCAATTCCAATGTTGAATTGTCCACGATCGCCAAATTCTCCAATTCCAATGACGGGTCATTGACCATTTCGTCCTTGTGGAGCGTTTGGAAAGACAAAATCGGAGAAAGGAAAGGAGTGAAGCCAAGGAAGACCCCGAGAATGAAGCACGAGAAGTAATGGAGAAGAGATCTCTTCCAAATTTGCCCCCTTAACTTTGACTTCTCTAAAGGCCTTCTATGGGAGATGAAACCAAGCATACAATCCTGTGCTCTGAACAATGCATAATCCAACGAAGCAATCGAGGATGGAAAGTTTAGAGTATGGGGTGGGTGATTCGGGTTGCTCAAAGACGATTTGGACAAAGGGGATGACGAAACCGGGCATGTCTCCCCATTCATAGGAACCCCCGCCCTTGGCACGGGGGACAATGTCCTCCTAATTGATGCCATCAAACCACCTGAACCCTAATTACCCAATTACCCTCTTTTCTTCCTTCAATAAGCATCAAACTATCAATTCAGCCTCAACAACAAAATCAGTAAGATCCTACAAAAGTAGGGTGGGTCCTTTTCCAGCAAGACCTTAACCCTACTCAGAATATCAATCCAGCTTCAACTTCAAAAAACGAAATCCTCCCCTTTTCCAGCAAGATTCTCAAATCTTGAAACAAAATCAGCTCTCCTAAAGCTCAAATTGATTCAAGGACCACTTCAATATCCTCTCACGTCCCTTGCAGAGATTATTACTTTAACTGTTTTCCATCTCAATAAATATCTAAAAACAGAAAGCTACTGATACATCTCCCAATCATAAGGGACCCAAAGAACCAGTAAAAAATAGTTTTTTTTACCAATCTTGGGTCATGATGGCAGGAAACTAACCATTTGATCTAGACCCAGAAATGCTGGAAACACTTATACCAAGAAAAATTGATCTAGACCCGGAAATGCTGGAAACATTTATACCAAGAAAAATCAAAACTTTTTCCCTTTTTGGGGGAGGGAAAGAAGAGTTCAGAGCAGAAAAATGAATCTTGAGAAGAGAAGAAGATCAAAAACCCAAAGCTGAATCGAGTTCTAAGTATTCAGATTTGAAGAACAGAGATGGGAATAAGTGAGCTGTGAAGGGGGTGAATTACCGTATTTGGCCCCCCCAAGTGCGTACGAATGGGGACGCTTGAAGAAGCAGAGGAGCTCTCTCTGGAAATTACAGACAGTATTAGCTTCTTTTCCTCTTCACGTGGACCTATATGCGACGATGAGTGTATTATACGGTGTACTCCGTATATACGGATTCATTTATACATTCATAATGTGAAAATGAACATTTATCCCCAACAAAATGTATTTTTTCAATTAACATTTAGCCCAAGTTCCCAACAAAGATTCACTGTTTTTTTGTTTGGGATATAAATAGAATAAAGTAAAATGATTCTTTAAATTATTAGCGCTTCTTTCAATATTGAAACAATTGTTATTCAATTAACTTTCGACACGCATTAATTATGAATCATTTAAAAATAACTTTTCGATGTTTTAAACTTAAGAGTCAGGTTGCGTACATCCGACTCTTCCTTACCCTGCAATGGGCAAGAACCTTTGAGGCACCGAGGTAATGTTGTTATATTCCAACAAAATGCATTTTTCTAATTTTCTCTACTCTTATTGTTCTTTGTCTCTTTTTTATCTCGAGTATTATTCTTAGCTCACATTGACTTCTTAGTACTCCCTCGATCCCAAAATGTTTGCCACATTAAGCAAAATGAAACAAAATTTTAAGAGTTTTCAATTTATTTTATATATATATATATATATATATATATATATATATATATATATATTAAAAATTATTTCAAAAGTTCTTCAAAACAATATGTGATAAGATTATTTTATTTTGTTAAATAATCGATGAAAGGTACAAATAAATAAAAATTTCTGTGATTTTAAATCATGAATTATGACAGTTTTTAGGAAAGATGAAGTAATATTTATACATTGTATTTGTTATAATTTATAATTAATCTTACTTTATTTTAATATTCATATCACTGTTATGTCTCAAAAATAGTGGGAGCAGAAAATACAAAAGAGAATGAACATAAATTTCAAAATAAAATTCTTGTTCACTATTCATATAATTAAACTATATTTTTACATATTTTATTTATTGTTTGATAAAATAAAATAGTAAAATCATCACTTATTTTGCTTAAATATATTCTCTCTTGCTCCTACTATTATTAGGACATAAGGGAAAGACAGAAATTAATAGAAGTAAAATTATATGGTTGATATTTATCGTCTTTCACATGATTGTCTGGCAGGTATGATAGAACTCTAGGATGAGGATCCTCTTTTTTTCTTTTCTATTTAAATTCTGTGTGTTCTATATTATTTACTCATTTCATATTTGGTCATAATTTTACGCACTCTATTAACCACTTGAGTTACATCTCAGATTAAAAAAAGATAAAAAACGATACGAGGCAATATAGAGAGGGAGTAGTTTTTTTAGGAGAATGTACCCCATAATATTTCTTCATTTCGTGCCAATTTTCAAATGTATTGCAAATAAAATGAATATTCTTCATTTGGATGTAGGAATGTCATTGTCTTCTATGCAATTAAGCTGTGTGGTTTGTGTAAAAAGAAGATACGAGTATTTTTTTTTTTTTTCCTTTTCTTTCTTTCTTGGAACTGAATCTAGACCAAATAATTAGGAAGAAAAATGACTAAATCAGGAGTGAAATGAATCAAAAAAAAAAATCAGGAGTGAAATATGCAGAAAATATCAAAATAAAAGCTTCGTGTTTTTATCTCCAAAATAAGAATACAATGTTAATAATACCAATATATAGCACCAAAAAATAGAGTGAAATGTCATTATACAATGTCATAATGTCACAGAGCAAACTCTTATATTAGAGATAAAAACATAAAACTCATATTTTGAGGATAAGTGCTACTTTTTACTTCTATCTGGGGTGTTTTTTTTGTTTTGAAAGAAAATAAAATATATGTAAAATGTATAATCGTGACTCTCCCAAATAAGGCGCCACACGTTTGATTCCTAGAGGGAGCATCAACTATTTGTGCTTCAATAGATTAATAAAAATACTCCGTATGTATAAACAGATGGTACATTATAATAAAATAAATAATGCTTAAGAATTGAAATCATGAGATGTGTAGTTTTTCCTCAATTAAAATTATGGTAGGAATTGAAATAATTTGTGTTAAAACTTGACAAGTTATTAGATTATAATGAACTTGATTAATGTCCTAATGTCTACAGAGTCTAAAAATGCTGATCATGCTTTGATGCTTATTTATTTGCCTATTATAAAGTCCACTATAAATCTTAGATCTCTCAAGAATTTGTCAATTTGTCTATAAAGGAATACTAGTACTAAATCTATTTTAAACACTACAGAAAACTCCATATAATTCCTAGAATTATCATGAAGTTGGCAATTTCTTTCATTTGAAAAAGTTCAACAGACACATACAAATGTGTATACATATTCATGCCAAGCTACCTAAGGAAATTATTGTTGACCCACAATTATGCAGACATAAAGAAATTATGATTGAAAAATCTAAATTATCTAAATATAATAATAACAATAATATAAACTCATTTCCCTTCCAATAGACACATTTCATATCATTTGTCAAGTTGGAAAACTAAGACACAGTATTATTGTTGAGTTTGTTTTAGGGGAAGAGGATCAGGCTTGACCAAGCAAGAAGCCCAAATTTGGTCAGCAGGGGGTGGGGGTTGAACCCAGTGGCCGGGAATCCGGCTCCCCCCTGGCCGCAAGTAAGCATCCCATGTTCTTCTAACCTCCACAAGGGTACCCATATCATGGTTACACCCATAATAGTACTGATAATACTCCATTGGCAAATTCGAGTACTCACCACTAGTACAACCAGTCTCCTTGTGCTGTTGCTTTTCTGTTGGTCGTGTCGTAGCCTCCTCTTCATTCGTCTCCTTTTCGCCTTTGAGGTTCTTTCTCGACTCCTCCTCGGCGGTTGCTATGGCATCCCTCGCGGCGGCAGTGCCGGCTGCAGCCATTGCTTGCCGCTCCTCTTCCTCAACTGCAGCTTTCACTCTCTCCATAAACTTGTCGTCCTCCTCGGGAAGAAACCGTCCTGCCGAGTCAGTGAAGAATAATATTATTATGCTGAAGACCAGAGTGAAAATATAAATTTTCCTTATTTTTTAAAGGCTTGCAAAGAGATGATTAGACAGGAATTGTAACTTAAGGATCTTGCCGAGGATATGACCTTAGATAGAAACGTCTGGAGATCTAGGATCAGAATAGTTGTGCGTACATTTGAACTTTAGAATGTGATTTTTGTTGGTGCCTTTATGTGCCTAGTACCTATTGTCAATATGTGCTTCTTGTACTTGTGCTCTTACTTTGTCATGTGTTTACTTTGTGATTCCGGGTTTGACATGGGGTCTCTTGGAAAAAGCATCTCTATTGTCGATTAGGGGTAAGCTCGCCTCCCCAGACCCTACTTCTTCGTGGGGTTTTAATGGGTTTGTTGTTGTTTGTTGATTTTTTTAACAAAAAAAAAATCTGGTTAGATCATAAATATGTACCTTGTTTTTTCAACTTCTGAATCCTGAGGGAGCGTAATTCCTGCAACTTCTCCACCATCAATGCCAGCTCAAGCTGAAATCATAAATGTCCAAGTTACCGACCCTATTTTTGTAGAAGGCAGTAATGATATGATGGCATTGCCAGCAACTACTCACTTCCGAAACACAAGTTAGTTTATAAATAAGAGACACTTCTGGACAGAACTTCAAGAAAATCGTTGTTTTGGCCCCTTACTTGTTCTCTCGGTTACACTCTGCGTCCAGCTGGAATTTGCCAACCTTTTAGAGTACAATTATCAATACTAAGGGTTGGCAGTTTCAAACGGGATGAAAAGAGTATTTAAATTGCTTTCAATTCAGTCCCTCACACTCTATCTTTGTGACACTCTTGAGGGGCTGAACTGGCTAACTTTTATAAAACGAGAGACTGGTAAGCATGAAATTGAAAACGGGGGAGCACACTACATTACAGAATCAAGAATAAATGAGAAACAAACAGCAATTATCCCAAACCTCAATTTCTTGAAGGAAGCTAATGATTAGTCAATTGTTAGTGTGAAGATGGTTAAATGTCTGCCAAACTTACCTCAGAGCCCAATGTTTTTCTCTCCTCTTTCTCTTTCAGTTTTGCTATCTCTTTCATCTTTGCAACCTGCACACAAAGAGGCATCATAAATATCAGACCAACCAAGTCTAATGATCCAAATAGTATTTGAAGATGTGTTTTAAATGCAGGCAAACAGATTAAGCCACAAAGCCCATGACAGATACACAGTTAACGTGACATTTAAGTCCATTAAAATGCTTTCTCAGCTTTTTCTTCTTATCATCCTAAGATAGATACAACTTGACACAATAGCCACAGGAGCCATTCAAAAAGAAAATGCTTAAAAGCAGCAATAGAAGCTGCAATGCTACTCTAATATAGCAGCCAAAACTACCACCTAAGACCCAAAGGTCTACCCCACTACACTAATCCTAACCATCCAAGCTTCCCTATCTAAGTCATATCATCGATAAGATCCGAAAGTTGTAATTTGTAAATCATTTCTAATCACCTCTACCTCCTGCAACACTGCAACAGCAAGTTAGAAGAAGAATGCAGTTCTTGGATTTGAAAAGATGAGAAAAAAAGCTCTAAAGCAAGATATTTTAGGTCATTGACAAAATCCATTTGACACTGCAAAATGCAAATGTATGTTGTGCAAATCATACCTTTTGCTTAGCAACATCCTTTGCCATCTCTCTAGCCATCCACTCATCAGCTTCTTTATCAACTTTCTCAAACTGCTCTTTCTCCTGCAAATTCACAAAGTTCAATTATTTCAAGTAAAAGAAATGCACCATTTCCGTCCAAAGCACAATTAAAGGAAATCAAAGGTTACAGATTTAGCACCATAGCTAACTTCTCCGCAACACGTTTCCTCTTCTTTTTCCTCCACAGTTTGTTTCTTTTATACTTTTGCAACCGATTACCTAATCTGATAGCAGCAGATTTTTCTTCCCACGGACTTGCCTCATCAGCTGCGATCCTAAACGGCTCAAGGTGAGCTCTCAATTTCGATATCAATGCATTTGCAGCTTCCAATGAAATCAATTCATGGCTTTTCAAATCAATCCTATTAATGCATAGAAACTGTAAAAACGCATCAACAGACTCATTGTGTGTATCCAAATACTCTAACCCCTCAGAATCTCCTCTCATACTGTTTGCCTTATTGATCACTTCCAGCTCTGTTTTCCTGCTCATAAAATATGCAATCAAACGAAATCTTCATGAAAATTACATCAGAAAGGGGTTTAATCGCAATTTCGAACATTGAAAAGTACTTACAGAGCTTCGGCGAGATTCATAGTGTCTTGTAGTTCTCTGAGACGATCGCGCACATTTGCAGGTTCCCAGAAAGCGCTGGAAGGTGGGGGAAACGGCGGCAAGGGAGGAGGTTGCGGCGGTGGAGGAGCAAAGCTATACGGAGCAGGATCGACTCGATTCATTGGACTCTAATATATGCTCCGGCGAAAACAAGCCTCAGAAGTTGCTGATCTCTTCTTCCTCTTTCCCTAGTCGCGATTCCCGCCGGAAACCGCCACGCCGCCGCGTCCTGACACCACGCCAACAGCAGGAAAGTGGAGCCAGACACTGTTTTATATGGGCCTGACATAAGATGAAGGTCTTTTTAATTCAAAGGAAAAGGCCCAAACACATTAAGATTGGAAAGTGTTAAAACACAATAAAACAGTGCATTACGGAGTAGTAATAATACTAGTATCACACCCGTGCGTTGCACGGGTCATAGTTATGGTACTAAATTAAGATCATTTTTAGGAATATAAATTGGTATATAATGGAATATAAAAATTTCATTATTTTAAAGTACAAAAGTAAAATGATTTACATATTTCGAAAGACTTATTTATAAACTACATCACTCGTATAATTCGTGTGAGCATTTACTTCGTTGTATATCAGAATCTTCAAGTCATTGTGATTTATTACTCTTGAAACTGCAACAAACACTTGCCCATGACTAAATACTGGTTTCCGTAATAACAATAATTCAACATGTTTCAGATATTGTCCCTGACAATAATTCAATAATTTAACTTATTTAAATAATAATTCAACATATTAATGTATCTATTTCGGAATTTGTATTTTTTAGTTTTATTTTCGTATTTAAATGGTACCATTTACTTACCATATGGTATTTATTTTCTATTTTATTTTAGATCACTTACGATTTTATACTTATCCATGCTTGTAAATTATAGAATTAATAGTATTAATTTTAGAACACTTACCATTGTTACATGTTTCCATGCTTATAGTATTAATACTATTAATTCATAATTATTTTATTTTTGCATTTAAATGGTACCATTTACTTTATGTACCATATTATCTTTAAATTTATTTTATAACACTTACCATTTTAACATGTTTCCATGCTTGTAAATTGTAATATTAATTGATAGTACAAATTTGCAGTTTTCTATTTTATTTTTGTATTTAAATGGTATCATTTACTTACCGTACCATATTTATTCTCTATTATATTTTAGAACACTTACCGTTTTGATATTTATTTTATTTTCTAATTTATTTAGAACACTTACCTAATTTATTTTAGAACACTTACCATTTATTTTATTCTTGTGTTTAAATGGTACCATTTTCTTATCATTGTGACATACTGTATTGTATTTATTTTCTAATTTTCTAATTAGAACACTTACCTTTTTCAAAACAATTTCATGTTTATAAATTATAGTATTAATATTAATTTTGCATTTTTTTTATTTATTTTCATATTTAAATCGTACTAATTACTTACCAAACCACATTATTTTCTAATTTATTTTAGAACACTTACCATTTATTTTATTTTCGTTTTTAAATGGTGCCAATTGCTTACCGTACCATACCTATTTATTTTTCTAATTTTCTAATTAGAACACGTGTCATTTTAAAATGTTTCCATGCTTGTAAATTATAGTATTAATATTAATTTGTAGTTTTTTATTTTATTATTGTATTTAAATGTTATCATTTACTTACCGTACCATATATATTTTCTAATCTATTTTAGAAAACTTACCGTTTTTACACGTCCGTGCTTGTAAATTGTAATAAATAATTAATTTGTAGTTTTTGAAATAAATCATTTTAATCTCGCTCATACTTTATTAATTAAAAGTTTTTTAATTTTATTTTAATATTTAAATGGTAGTGTATTTTATTTCCATACTTTAATTCCCCAATGGTTCACTACAATTTAAGTTAATTTAATTTATGTATTTAAACGGTGTAACATTTAAATAAAAATGAAAACATACTTAAAATAGAAGGAAAACAATAAGGCCAAATAATTAAACTATCATTTTTGGGATCAACACTTTCCATATATGAGTCTCATGTTTGGGCGGGAAAACATTCACCTCTTTTTAAATAAAGTATAGATTTTAATTTCTAATTACTCTATACGTATTTTAATTTCTAATTTCGTTTATGCAAGTTTTGGTATGAAGAATCTGCCCAAATTTGTTTCGCTGCATTAATGTTTAACATCTCTACCATTAATACTCCGTAATTTTTTATTACCATTTTTGTATACGTGTTAAAAATGTACATTACTCTATACGTATTTTCCTATTTTTATTACTCTATACGTATTTTAATTTCTAATTACTCTATTCGTATTTTAATTTCTAATTTCGTTTATGCAAGTTATGGTATGAAGTATCTGCCCAAATTTGTTTCGCTGCATTAATGTTCAACATCTCTACCAATAATAATTTCTTATTACCATTTTTCTATACGTGTTAAAAATGTACATTACTCTATACGTATTTTCCTATTTTCATTACTCTATACCTATTTTTATTACTCTATACGTATTTTTTATTGACGTTTTTAATTACCATTTTAAATGAAATAAGTTATTAGATATTATTACATATATATATTAGTAAATATAATTAAATACAATTATTACCATTCGTATAAACTGGTTAAAAAAGTATTGATTTATTAACGGTATGCATTTTTCGTTTATATTTTAATTTCTAATTTCGTTTATGCAAGTTATGGTATGAACTATGAAGAATCTGCCCAAATTTGTTTCACTGCATTAATGTTCAACATCTCTACCATTAATAATTTTTTATTACCATTTTTGTATACGTGTTAAAAATGTACATTATTCTATACGTATTTTCTTATTTTTATTACTCTATACCTATTTTTATTACTCTATACGTATTTTTATTACCGTTTTTAATTACCATTTTTAAATGAAATAAGTTATTAGATATTATCACATATATATTAGTAAATATAATTAATTACTATTATTACCATTCGTATAAACTGATTAAAAAAGATTGATTTATTAACAGTAAGTGTAATTATGTTTGAATATTTTATTATTACTTACTTTTTTACAATTAGAACACTCGTTTGAATATTTTATTATTACTTTAAATATTTTATTATTACTTACCTTTTACAATTAGAACACCTAAGAAATTGAATATTTTATTATTACTTTAAATTACTTACCATTTTAAATGAGTAATTACTTAATTACGGTAACTCCATTAATGACCCGTGTAACTCCATTTTAATTGAGTAATTACCATATGGAGTAAACAATTACCATTTTTGATGGAAGACCAAATGGGCGGAAAAACAAAATTGAGAATTCATGTCTTTTTAAATAAAGTATGGATGAGAACAGAATTTTTACCAATCACTTGTCATATGTGAATTTTAATGGTCCGTTTGGTATACGTAATTGATGAAATTGGAATTGAATTGAGATTGAAATTTTATAAGATTTAATTCCATAAAATTGAATTCACCAATTCCAATTCATTTTCTACACTGTCAATTCCAAATCCACATACTTTTTGTGTTACCAAGCACAAGAATTCGAATTGAAGTCTTCAATTCCAATTTTATAATTTAAATTCTATGTACTAAACAGGACCTAAATTTTCATTTTCTAAATTATTTGAGAAAACTATTCTTTTAGTAAGTTGTTCTTTCTTGTTCGTAAAGCCCACATGTAAAATGAAACATTCTCACATTTTTTACTAGCAAGGAGGTGGTCGATTCACTCGATAATATTACCAGAGATTGGTCTTACTTTAAGTCTATAATTAATGTCTGTAAGCGTCTCCAAATTCTCTGTCTGAGACACCTTAATTATCATTTTACTCATCATTCTTGTAATGAGACAATACATTTGTTAGCGTCTAGTATATTCGTTATGAAGATGACGATGTAGGGAATGGCTAGACTAACTTCCAAACTTTATATTATTTCTATGATTATTTAATTTAAAATTTGGTTTTAAAAAAGCACATTATACAGAGTCTATTTTTGTTATACTCCCTCCGTTTTACAATAAAGTTCTCGTTCACTATTCAGATAGTCAAACTTTATTTACTTTGTTGGTCGATTTCCGTATCTCATTTGATAAAATAAAAGAGTCATGTCAACTCTAATTTTGTAGATCTTTTTATGTAGTTTTTAAATATGTAATTTTTATTTTTTAATTCCATACCATTTTTTATTTAAAATTATTTAAAAATAAGTTCTGTTAAATATCGTAACGCGCCACGGAAACTTTATGGACGGAGGGAGTAAAATATTTTTGTGAATAATTGGAGAAAATAATACGGAGTAGTCATCATAATGGCATATGATGACCCACCCTATGACTTCATAGAACGCAAGTGACAAATCAACATGACCACATCCTCATCTTAAGAGAAATTTTTTGTTATGCTTTTTTTTCCTATAGATTTATGAGAGATTTTTTTAGCTGCTATTGTTTTATAAGTATAATTTATAAACTATATTTTACTCCATCCCTCCGTCTAACAATAAAGTTTTCATTCACTATTCACAAAATGAAATTTTATTTACTTTGTTAGCCTATTTTCGCGTCCTATTTGATATTCCGTAAAATAATATAGTCATTTCATCTCTGGTTTAGTAGATCTTTTCATGCAGTCTTTAAATATATAATTTTTATTTTTTAATTCCATCCCCTTTTTCATATAAAATAATTTTAAAATAACTTCACTCAAACATCATAACGCGCAACGAGAATTTTATTTATGGACGGACGGTGTATTATAATCTGATCTCTATCTCAGAATATTTATTTAATTTTGACTTATACAATTAAAATTGATACACTTTTACTATTAATTAGATAAAATTTATATTATATATTGATTCAAGAATAATTATTACAATTATATTGTAAAACATTTTCAAAATATTGTTGTGTTTAATTAATATATCACGTGATATTTATTTAATTAAAGGTGAAAAGTCTATTATGACTGGCTACGAAAAGAAAAAGCTAGATATATAAGAAAACAATCAAAAAAAATTTAAATAAATAATAATAATAATAATAATAATAATATTAAAATTTATAAATAAAATTTAAATACTCTCTAGATTTTAAAAAGGTTGGCCTTTTTTCTTAAAACGAAGTAAAATTTAATTTTTTTATTTTTCCTTTATTTAATGTATGGTATAGATATATTTTATTTAAAAAACTACATCAAAATTTTTTTTCTCCTTTTATACCGTT